CCGTGAAATTCAACAGCATATCTCAAGCAACACTAACTGTAAACGAAACAAACTAGTAAAAGTGATAAATGCACTTATCCAAACTACTTTTGATTTGTGTTAAAAACCGACAGTTAATAGGTCGAAGCCATGGTTTGGCAATGTGTAGAAATGAGTTCATGAATACAGAACAATAGAATGCGGGGAAACTTCACAAAATGACAATCTTGTTATCATAGGCAAACAAGTCATAGAACGTTTATCTGCAGAAAATAGCCTCGAAAAGACTGGAAGAGAATTTGTATAGGCCTCATCTCGACACGGCTTCATGTGCTAAAAGTGAGCATCAACGTTGAGTGGCGTATATTTATACTCATATCTTCCAGTATATTTATATAAGTTAAATTGTAATGTCCCTGTTTATAATTTTATTGAAAATATATACATTTGATTGAGATTTTTATTTTATAAATTAATTTGCATAATAAGAAAAGATAAAATATATTTTTAAAAGGTTTGGTTTAAGTCCAAATGAATCGTTAATTCGTCTGCCGTTGGAGCGCCAATTGGCTCAGCTAGTTCCTAATGTCGTCGTTAGAGAACACCACTATACGGTAACAAAAGCAAAGGCCGCCTTGTTATGTAACATTCGCTATCGAAGTGATCAATCCACAGAGCTACAAGGAGGTAAGTATTTTATCAGTTATTCTTCACAAAACACAATTCTGTTCGAATTGAGAACAGAATAATTCTATTTTTTTTTAAATAATCTGTTATTACAAAACAAATAAGAAGCAAAATTAAGTATTTTTAATTTCAGACTTGGCTTTCACTTTGCTCTTTAGCATTCAAGATCATTGGCCGTTGAACATCGTGTGATAGATCTTTAATAAGTTCAGGAAAATTTATGAAGTAAAAATGTTGCATTCAGGAATGATTGAGGTTAAAGCAGGTAATATATAAAGCTTACCTATGCCCTCTTACAATGCTTATATCGGTTCAATTAATCAAAATGCCTCACCGACATTCCTAAGCTCTGACTTGTGTTGTGTATCCTACTTACTTTTACTGTGACAGCTATGGACAAATGTTGAATGGGAATCAGAGGCAATAAAGTTGACTGTAAGAGGAAGTGTACAGATGTAGAGTCTGTTGGCAGGCAGCTATAGGTCAGAACAGAGGTATCCAGAAGGGGGTTTCATGGTGCAATGATGGAGTAATGTATATTTGAAGTGAAAACTTTTAAATCAAAAGACAAGTGGAAGCAGGACAGACTGTAGGAGGCGTACTTGTATATAATCTAAGAATTTTAAAATTCTAATCAACAAAGGATCTCTGATAACTTGGTTTGCTATACTTCGATTTAAAGTTATTAGAAGGGAAATTGCAATTGGCAGAGGCAAGTCAAATAAAATAACTTTATTCCAAGTTTGGTTGCTAGGAGATGTATCTTCAGTGTGAAGATTAATAATAAAAAAAATAGCATTATTATTTCACCATGACCTCTTACTTTATTTAACTTGATTTTGTATGTAACATAGATTAGAATAGATCATCTTTAAAGATATCGCAAATCAGAGTAATAGGCTAGGCAAGACGTTACCTTAAAAAATGCATTATTGTTGTTGTTGTAAGTTGCCAATTAAAACCCACCCATTTCGAACTATCTGCAATCTGAAATTTGAAGTAAAAAAAAAACTTCACAATAATCTCAAACTCAAAACATAGCAACACGAAATTACAAATGAACCAAAGCGCTGTCAAACCAAAGATATTGCTGTCAAATAACCAGTTGCCATCGTTGCACTTTATTCTCATAAAACTTAAATTTTCTAACTATACTCTCACCACACCATTCGATTGAAAATTAAATAGAAACGTGGCGGAGATACATAATTGAATAATATGTTAATCGATGTTATAGAGAAAATGAAATGAATAGGGATAGCTATTGTTTTGGGCTTGAAAATGACTATTCTTTCGGACATTTTAGGTACCTTCATTAACAAATATAACAAGTTTACCAAATGCTTTGACGTAAACAGAACATTAATATCAAGTATTTCAATTTGAAAACGATAGTTAAAATAAAAAGCAACACAAATTTTAGTTCTGTAAAAAAAGTAAAAAATATTATTTTAAAACTGAATAAAATAACACGAATCGGAACAAAGATCAACTTTTATTTGATAATTTTAAATAAACCAAATCAAATCCAAAATACTAATGTCACGGCAGGGTCAAACATTGGTCGCCTTTGCATAAAGTGGGTATAAATGATACAGTTTGGTTTAATAAAAGGTGTTGGTCTCAGCAAACAAGTCTTTTCATAAGTGGAAAGGAAACAAATTTCTGTTTTACTTAGTCTGCATCAACTGGAGTGTTTGATGAGGCTGAAAAATCAATAGGTCTTGTACAAGCGTATTTATTTTTTACGATACTTGTAGTTATCATCTGATTGCGAAGATGTATTGAATAAAGCAGAAGCATAGAGTGATGTCAGTCTTTTTAATCTTCATCATATATCCTTTGTCTAGGAGGAACTTCCGGACGTGTTGAATTCAAAAATAATACACGAATTATATAGAAGGAATGAATTAAAATGACACAATGCTCATTCTTGATGGCGAGTTTTCATGCTTGTTCGCCTCAACCTCTCGAACTGCTCTAATCATCCGCGGACTATATGCTTCTGCTTTCTTCACTACAGCTTTGGAATTGGTATGACGAGTGTCATATAAAAAATCATACTTCTGTTAAATATCTATTATCTCTTTCCACTTCTTTAGAGATACCAGTAAACATAGACTTTCCGATTAATCACAAGTAGTTCTTTTCCAACGTGGACTATTTATTCTGCAGTGGCCGACCACCTTAACATCTGCGAACGAGCACAATCCGCCGCTTGTTTGACCGGAATTTTAGTATGCCGACGTCTGGAAATATAACACATTTCTCCTGGAAGACCTTAAGAACAGTATTGATTAGAAAGAGCATGTTGTACCGCACGAGTCTAGTGTATCCCCATTGTTTATATCCAGGTCATCATCATTTTTCACAGAGGAAGGGTCGCAGAAATTTGATGATTTAAATCCTAAATCCAAGAAGGATGAAAAATAGGCATTACTAATTGTGAGGGTACTTTTATATAAATATGAAAAAAGCCTAAATCTTTAGAACTTTCTATATTTGTACATAAATAAACTATTAAGCTATGCTTTCCATATTAACTAAGTTAATATCTTATCATTTTAAGAAATGAAATTTATAATTTTATAAATATAGCTACATATTGAATAAGGATTATTATATTAAGGAAAATTATACTATAATATATTTATGCTTAAGGTGAAGCTGTTTGCTAGAGCTTCTTCGTAATAAACAGTTACCTCACATAAACATGAATAACAAGCGAACCTATTGTGCTATCTAGCGTAGAGTACTAATAGTATTACAATGTAAATGTGTTGTTTTCTGAAAGCTCTAACATCGTAGTAACGCAGAATCAAAGTACAAGAGTAAATTAAGCACAATACATATACAAGGAGTAGAAATAGAGCTCCTCATAACATTAATTAAATAAATCAAGATCTGGTAGATAGTTCTCCTCGCTTGTACAACTTCTAATGCCAGGTATTGTCTGAAAACTTCTCATTATCTTCTATATATTCTCGGCGTATCATTCTCTTTCGTACATATCCACTTCTCCCAATCTAAGGGAACTTTTTTCTTAGACCTGATTGTATTTCAAGGCCTTCTGATATCTATAAACAACTTCGATGCAAAAGATAGATGAACTCATAAGTTCCATAAATGGATTTCTATGCCATTATCCAAACTATTGCTGCAGCCAATAGCCTTGGTGGATATTGCTTTTCTGTTAATCAAGCAGTTAAATATCTTGCAACATTTAAAATAAAAAAAATATTGAAAAGAATAGTCTGTTGATGAACAGAGATCCATTATAATTCGAAATCGTCCAAGTAATTGAAGAAAAGTAATAAAATTTGTCAATGAACTTTAACGAGATATTGATGATCTAGAAAAAAATGCATAATTATATACATTTAATAATGGAATAAAAATTATAAACATGTTTGAAAAAACAAAACAAAAAGGCCAGTTGTACAATCGGAATCAACCAACAAAATCATGAAGACAGTAAATATGAAAACTTGAACTTGACTTGAACTCCAATCGTACTACTGACCCTAAGAATAAACAATGTTTATTATCCGATATTTGAATTATAAAATTATATGAAAAGAAAGTTACTGAATTCAGAAACATTACTTAAAGTTTTTAAAAGCAAACGATCGTTTGTGAATGTACGTTGATTCTACTTCCCGCCAAAACCTTTATAATTCTGGGACAAGTTTATGTAGTGTATTTGTTTTTAAATAATTATGTGTAAACAATCTACTAATAAATGTGAATTGTTATTATCTGATAATTATTCGGTTTAAAGAAGGATATCATTCTCTGCATTTTGCAGTAGTTTCTTTTTCTTTTTTTTTATATTAATTTTATGACAGCTTGAATATTTACACAAATCCTTAAGTAAGTCTCCCAGATATTCGGAATATTATTTACTGTATTAAAAATATCGAATGAATTTATAGTTTTATAATTCAAATTACAATTCTCTATCTTACTGAATTTAGTTGAATGAGTGAGCTCTTTTAAATGTCTGGCTTCAGAAATTTCGATTTTTCCTTTAAAAATATTAAATTATGTATTGAAAATCTCATGACCTCTGATTGAGATTAGTCTTCTACCAAGAATACTTAATTGTAATTATTCAAATTCCTTTTTTGTAATTACTTACTTTATTGTAATTATTCAGATTCCCTGTCAACATCATCTGAAAATTTTTACACTCAGTATCAGATTTAATGTTAGATTTTATCCTTCTAATTATAATAATTTATATATTTTTTATTAATTTCGAGTAAAGTAATTTAGAATTAGTTCCCAATAATTAAAATGAGTTGTCAAAAACTCCTACTAAATTCATGATTTGTTTATAAATGTAAATAACTGATATGTTTTGAAGTTTATACATTATTTTTTGCAGCAACAAAGATTCAGATATGGCAAATGGTTTATTATCAGCAGAATTAGCTGCTACCTGTAATGCCTTAGGTTATTACGATGGACAAAAATATCATCTTGAACCCCACAGCAAAGGTGTAGTATAGAGTCAAAGTATTAATCATTGTTACTTTATATAAATGAGTTAATAAACAAGCAAAAAATAGTCATGGTGTTAATCTTGACTGCTACCCAGACAATGTTCTTGATTATTATAGCAATATATTTAAAATTTAATATGTTAGGTCAGAAGTAGCTCTGAAGTATTTTAATATCTTAAATATTTTTGTATATTAATTGTATAAGCGGCTTAATATTAAATAAATCTTAATACTGGATTATAGCAATGCAATATTGTCTTCAGAATATAGAAACTTTGTTTAATCTTGACTTATTATTGCTAAATTTGAGTTTATGATTGACATTAATGAAATTTTGTTTATTGCAGAGACAATCAAAGATGTAATTAGGTATTTACGAAGAGATGAAGATTCTCATGACATTAGGAGGTTCTTGGGCAATACTAAATTATTGAAGACTGATTTGCTTCCAATTTTGGAATGTCACACTAAAGATAATGATCTTTTCGATGTTGTGCTAAGGTAAAATTATTTATATTCTGCTTAGATTCATGGAAACTATTTAAGATTTTTATTGTTGCTGATGTTTCAACCAAAGCATCTGGGTTGTCATTAGGGCATGTTACCTGCACCTTCTGCCCTGATTATGATTATGATCCTTAGATAGAAACGTCGGTAACAATATAAATCTTAAAATGACTGTATCTTGACTATTTATCATCCACAATATGTAGAATAATCGACTAAGTTCTTTCAATAAAAATGTTCTAAAACAAATATTTCCTTACTTCAAAATAGCGTTTTTGCAGATACAAGGTATCACTTCTTAGGCATTGAAATATATTATTTTGAATTCAAATATTAATCATTTGCACATTTCAGCAAACTTTTTGTGGTGTATATGTATTTATTTGATTAATGAAATATTATTGATTTCTTTTACAGACTTGTTGTTAATTTAACTACTCCAGCATTGATAATTTATAATGAAGTGGTCCCTACTGACAAAAATGATTTGAATCAATATCTTCAACTTGTCTCACATTTGCAAGTATACAAAGAAGCATTTAGTGATCAGAAGATATGGTCAGTGTTAACTGAACGTTTAAGTACGCTGCTTGGTAAGGTATGTGAATCTTTTATTGTATTTTCATAATCTTTACTAAACGTATTTATTAAAATTTTATGGATGGTCTTCCCCTGAAATAAAATTATTTGTAAACAAACTTAAATCAGGAGCTTTCAGATTGGCTGTCATAGGCTGAATTTTTGTTGATAATGACTAATTATATATTTTTTTAGGATTCAGAAAATAGAGATGAAGATGACCAGAGAAATATTGAAAGAATACTTATCTTGGTGAGAAATGTTTTACATGTTCCTGCGAATGCTTCTTCTGACTGGAGACCTGATAATGATGCCAGTTTACATGACCAGGTATTTTCTATTTATGATAAAATATTTTTCTATTGGCAAGTGTTATATGAATAATAATTTTTAAAAACTACTTCTACAAATCGTGAAGGATCTCATGTTCAGTACTTTGTAAGGGAGTAATGTTTCTAAGCCAACGGTTGTGCTTAAACATGATTAGTGGGGGTCATGCTTAATCATCAGATTTCTCTCCTTAATCAATTGTTTCATATGAATAATAATTGTTATATTTTTCTACATGTCTAATAAATTTATCTATTAAAAAAAAGGTACTACTTCACTAGCAGGCCGGGTCGAAACCTCAATTGTTATCTATGTTATCTAACGTCACATCGTATAACCTCCACTTCTTTTTCCGCCATACCTTTCAGTTATTACATTGTTTATTTTTCAGTTATTCCCTTATTACGTTCACTTATTAAATTCTTTATTTTTGGCCCATTTGTGTTTATTTTTTATTTATTTTTTTAGTTTATTTTCATCAAATTATGTATCTTGTTACATTCTGGGATTTACCGTCTTCAGAAGATCAGGCTATTGAATATTTTCAAAACTTTAGGATACTTGCAGACGTGAAATTGTGTGAACGAGGTCATCAAATGAAGTTAACTAGGAACGCTAAATGAAGATGCTGTCGTAGCACTTGTCACATAAAACTTATAGTGTTGTTATTTTTTCTTTTATATGTACATGTTCTTTAAGTGTTTTTTTATGATTTCATTTTGATCTTTCATATGTACATATCTTCTTTAAGTTTTTTTTATTACTTCATTAATATATGCATCGTAAAATAAAAGTTTTTTTTTTGTTATTACATTGTTTCTGTTTAAACTTTCATTAATACGAATATAATAAGATAGGAATTATGAGAAGGTCTATCACTGCCTTATCGGAATTATCAATGTTCAGGTTATAAACATTGGCAGATAGCAGTCAGTCCCGGCCTGCTAGTGAAGAGCTACAAAAAAAAAATCATAAAAACTTGTGCTACCATTCCTATCAGAGTTCCTTAAGCACGAGTATGTGTAAGTAAGCACGAGATTATGTTGGTGGAATCAGTAACATTTTGAAAGCATATGCATGATCACCATTGGTTTCTTTCACAGCCTTTAATATCTGAGATCTAGTTCCTATCAGTGCTTATTAACATTGGTGAATAGAATAAAGTCATTGAACATAGGTGAATTATGGATTGGAAGTGTAATAATTCAACTTTCCAATGGTTGCACTAACACTGAATATGGAGAAAATTCTGAGAAGTTATGAATGCTTTAGTTAAGAGCCAGAAAACAACAACAAGAAACTGAGTACTGAAATTCACAACTTTTAATTTATATAAAATATTTAAGAGTTTTAAAGGGCACTAAAAAAGAATCTTATTTGCTTTTTAAAAACAAAAATTCTACTTTACTGGAAGGGCCTGTTGTTTGTTTTAATTTATGGTACATTATAACTCATTTAATACCATAGTCAATATTTTTCTCTTCTGCACAGAAAAAGAAATAAATTTGTTTATAATAACCTAAAAATGTGGGTGAAGCAGAGGCAAAAACTAATAAAATACATTTTTTAATACTAAATAGTTGACCGTGGTATTATAGAGAAAGAAGATGGTCCGGTATGGCGGTCAATAATAGACTAAAATAGTGGCAAAACTATTTTAGTAAAAGCTGACATTTTGACCCGACTTTTTAGGTTTTCTTCAGGGCTAGAACGGACAAGATACAAAAGGATATATAAAATTGTGGAAGTTACATAATATTTAGATAAAAATTATAAACAAGGTGAATAAACTTATTGAAATTACAAACAGTAATTACATTGAAATATTAAGAACAATAAGCTACATAAACAGAGTAAGCTAAGTAAAAAGATCCTAAACTGAAGTAAATAGATGTTAACAATTGTTGTAGTAATATATTATATGTTGTAATAATAGTAATGTAGTAATACTACAATGATTGTTACCATCTATTTACTTCAGTTTAGGATCTTATTACTTAGTTTATATAGCTTATTGTTCTTAATATTTCAATGTACTTACTGTTTATAATTTTTATCTAAATATTATGTAACTTCCACAATTTTATATATCCTTTTGTATCTTGTCCGTTCTAGCCCTGAAGAAGACCTGCAAATTCTATTCGAAATGTTGACTTTTAATAAAATAGTTTTGCCACTATTTTATGACCGCCACCCCAAACCATCTCCTTCCTCTAAAATATATTTTGTTTGACATTATATAAAATAATTTGTTTTCTTGGTGTCTTGGGCCCATTTGAACAAATACCAGGACATATGTCCAATATTTTTTTATGTAATATCATTGAAAAAAAATGTAGTTGAAATTGTTGAACCGTAAATTCACACTTTACTTTGCAAATCATCACTGTTAGTAATACAATTTTTTTTTTCTATAGCAACACAATGAAATTATAACAAGTGTATATCTTTCTTTAATTTCTTTTTTTTTTTTAGGTAATTTGGGCACTTCATCAGTCTGGTATGCTCGACTTGCTCCTTTACATGGCCAGCTCATCGCAGGAAGCAGCCTTTTTTATGCACTTACTTGAGGTACATTTATTACATTATTTGATATTTAATTTATTATATTTCAGATCGATTTTTTCACTTTCGTAGCAATCTAGCTATTAAATTAATATGATTTTTATTTTTTTCTATTAACTCGTAATTTTGTATTTAGATTATCTGTCTTATAGTTCGAGAACAACCAGCTTCATTACTAGCTGAAACTGCATCTCAAAGAAGTATTGATGAAAAGCATCGAGATGAACAAGAATTATTAAATATTCGTATAAAGGAGCAAAAAATGAAACAATATAAAGCAAAGAAGCATTTTGGAACCAGGTAAATGATTTTTTATTGAATTGCTTTCACTAGCTAAGCTTATTATAGCTTTATAGTTATAATAAGGAAAAGTATTGTGTTTGTGAAAAATTTTGAATTTAAGTGTTTTAAGTAAGTACACGTTTTAAGATTCTCTGAATTAACATTACCAAGTCACACAAAATAATTTGTGTGTATAAACATCCTTGATGAAAAAGAAAAGTTATACAAAACCAAAAAAGTAGGTGTATGCCAGTGATGTTATAGCAACTTCTTTTGCTACAATCAACTTTCTAGAAGTGTCACACTCATAAACGGCTCTAACTATTTTGATTAAATCAATATAAAATTTAATGGTATTGAATATCAACCAGAACTTATCCCCTTTGTAATACTTTGCTTTGGCATTCCTTAAAAATGCCGGATTTTATTGTTTTAGGCATTCAAATTTCGGAGGAACTTTTGTAATCAAAAACATGAAGTCTACAAGTGACGATAAAGATGTGATCTATCACAAACCTCTCAGTAAAGTAAATAGCTTCACCTTGGATGCGGGGAAGGTATTTATAATAATATATTCAATAGATTTAATTAAAATTTTGATGTTAGTGTAATAAACAATAGTATGTATAATAAAAATTCTTGAAAACAAACTAGTAAAAGTACAAGGATGAATGAAATATAAACTTAATATAGGTAATTTGCTTATCGTGCAGTTCAGAGCTTGAACAAGATGCGGGAAGTTAATGTTTGATTTGTAAGACGTGAGACCAGAAATGACCGAGAAGGAGGTTCATCCGTTGTATGGTGCTCATACAATTTTAATCAATGTCAACTCATTTTAGGGCACGGTTTGGGGACACTATAATGCGTGGGCCAGAGAGTATAATGATGAGTGAGAAAAAAATTAAAATAAAAGGCATGATTGGTGCTCAAGGACATCTTACAAGTGATAACATTTGTGCCATTCAAAAGCTTCTAGAAAAAGAACAAATCTCGTCAGAGGATTTGAACGCATTGAAGAAGTCGAGGAGCAGATACAATATTGACTGACAACTCACTCACTAAGTTTTTACTGACTAGAAATATTCCAAGCATCCAGAGTAGTTGGAAAAGTGTTTTATTCATACAGGAGACTACATTCAGAAACACTGAAATCATGCATTGTTTAATCAATAAATGTATAAGAAATAATTACTGCATATATTTAATTTTCTTTATATATTTTTTTTTTCTTCTGTGTTGAACATGAATTTCCATCACCATTCATAAAGCATTGTGAGTAGTTATAAATTGTTTTTCTTAACTTCTACTTTTCCTATTCATAAAATTGTGTTTCTGGGGAATGTATTTTATTTTTCTTCGACACATTCCTCTCTATGTGTGTATGTGTATTTTGTTTTTTTCTTCTAATCTTAATGTGTATTCACTTAAACTTCTTATAGAACAAATGTAAATAATTTATTTACAGTAGTTATTTTGTTTAAATTTTTATATTCCATCACTACAATGCTTTGCCTATAAAATTTATTTATTGTTTCTTTATAATTTCATTTAGTGATAATTATGTTATTGTTTTAGTTCCAATATTGTAGTATTGTAACCCTATTACCCATCTGTTTTCGTTAATATATTCTAACAGCTATGTATATACTTATACTTATTTTAGTTATTCTTTATTGTAATAGGTCTTTTGGCCAGATTTATTGTTAATTTATATGAACAATATTGTTATTTTTAAGGGATCTAGTCCCAGAATAAAGATGATTTTCTATTTCTATTATATTTGCCATCGTAGTTAGTTTATGGTGTCCATCCGTACATTTTTTTTATTATCTCAACTTTGTTATTCTCAATAGGATTGCTCATTTTTTTTTTAAATTGTTAATCATTTAAAGTTCATAGGTGGAAGACATTATGTGACTTAATTATTAATTATGTTACATTTGGGAACCTTCTAATATTTTTTTTTTTTAGAAACCGAAAAAAATTCCTAAGAATCGTTTACCATTAAAATGTGAGAGTGCCGAGAGAAGATCAGCCCTGAGCGTGCGTTTAATTTTAAAGCAGTTCTGTGTTGAAATATTAAATGCCGCTTATAATCCACTGATGAGACATGTCAAGGTAAAAACATATTCCTTCAGTCATATAAATTTTTAATTTTTTATTATAGAAAATTTATTTTTCATTATTAATAATTTAATAGTATCAATTATTTGCAGGATTGTTTAGTCCGAGGAAAGAGTCAAAATAATGATGAATCATATTATTTCACTGCCTTAAAATTTTTTATGGAATTTAATCGTAAATATAAGTTTCAAGTGAAATTAGTCAGGTAAAAATTTTTTAATATACAGAGTATTTCAGGGTTAAGTGGCGAAACTGCAAAAATGAACTAAGGACCTCAAAACAAGAAAAAAATTTCCTCTGAAGGTATGTCCGCAAACACTTTGTTTAGGAGATATTCACATCTAAAGATTTTCATTGTTATGAATTATTTACGTTATATGAAATAAATAAAACCTATTAAGTTGTTTTAAGTACTTTATTAATTAAATGTAAACATTAACATTCATATTAAATGTTGTTCAAAGTGATTTCCTTAATCATTAAGACAGGCTCGTCATCTTTCTTCAACAGCAGCAGTGGCAGAACGGCGCTGGATGTGTGTTTTTGTTTCACAAGATTCAATTATCCTTCGTAAGGAATTGAGGTCATTTACCGGACTTTTATGGACTTTTTGTTTAATGTCACCCCAAGCAATCCAGTGGTGTCAGGTCTGGAGAGCGTGCAGGCCAAGCCACTGGTCCTGCACGGTCAATCCATTGATGTAGGATGTGGAATATGATTGAGCAAGTCCTGTCAATGACCTCAATCACTTATGAAGAAGGATAATTGAATCTTGTGAAACAATAACAAATATTCAGTATCGTTCTGCCACTGCTGCTGTTGAATAAAGATGCCGAGCCTGTCTTAATGCTCAAGGAAATCATTTTGAACTACATTTAATATGAATGTTAGTGTTTACATTTAATTCTTATAGTAGTTAGAACAAATAAATAGGTTTTATTTATTTTATATAACATAAATAATTCATAACAACGAAATTCTTTGAGTGTGAATATCTCCTAAACGTATTGAGGTCCTTAGTTCATTTTTGCAGTTTGGCCACTTAACCCTGAAACACTATGTATTTATTTTTAAAATTTTTATTTTTCCTTTTAATAATAAAGAATGAATTTATTTATTTTAGTGAAACAATGTCTGTTGAGACTTTTTATTTCGTTCAGAAATATTTAGAAACTTGGCATGAAATGATGGTTACTGATAAAAAGAAGATACCTCTCTGGTCTACTAGGATGCATATCGCTTTGAAAGCTTATAAAGTGAGAATAATTTTAATATATATGCTTGTATAATGTATTTATTGTAGTTGGAAACTTACTGATAACACTAAGACAATTGAGGGTTCTCTAAGTAAATATTTTGTCAATTTTTATATATTATTTCTCTAAGCTTTTTTTTTTTTGTCAGTGCACAATATCTTTGTTAATTCTTTATCAAAGCCAATGATTGAGCCATCATTTTGGAAGATAATTTCTCTTCAAGTATGAGAAATTAGCATATACTCCCAGAAAAGTGAGGAAAACAAAAAGAAACTTACTTTTCACAATTTTCATTATTACACAGCTCCTAATCTGTATATAAGACAATATGCATGTGTATACATTGGCTTACATTATATAATAATAATAATAATAATAATGATTTATTTATTCTGGGAAGTCGAGTCCCTTTAAAATGAAACGGAAAGACAAAAATGTGGGCAAAGGAGCCTCAGAGATACATAAACAAAAATATAGTGTAAGTGAATAGTCAAATTAAAAAAAATAATAAAAGAAGTTGTAAGTTACTTTCTAATTTAAATCAGTTAATAATAAAAAAAAATGAAAATAAATATAAAGTAAGAATAATGAGGAACGATCTGATAATTATATACATATTTACAGTACTATTTACAATTTCATGGGGATGAATCTTACAAAGCAATTTATCAAATGTTTTAATTTTGCCTCGAGATCCCCAGAGACGCCCCCATATACCTATATAGCAATAGTCAAAGTAGGGAAAAATTAAGGAAGTTACTAGGAGCCTACGGGTTTCAAGGGAAAATAGGTGACGGGAGTAATTTAGACGTTATATACTGTCTTATATACAGATTAGGAGCTGTGTAATAACGAAAATTGCGAAAAGTAAATTGTTCTGGATAGTTTCAGAGTTTAATTATTAAATTATAATTGCTCTAGCCTTTGAATAGTTGAAGATAAGATAGTAAAGTAATATATATTATTAAAGAAAATTTAATATTAAAAAACTTTCTTCCTCATGACTTTTTCTTAAAATAAAAAGAGAAAGAGTTAACGAGTAAAATAATGATAAAAATGTGAGGCAAAACTTTTTTTTTTTAGAAAAAACAATATAATCATATCTATTACAAATTTTGTCAGCTTTGATTTCACATATGACATTATTATAGATAGAACTCACCATTTCACTCTTATATAAGTGAAAAACAGAAAAAAATTAACTATTTGAAACCTAATTCAATTTTTTGACTTGAAATCCACTGTAAATACTATAAATTGAAAGGATTGTTAGCTTTATATATCTATAAGCTCTCTCAATATATACGCTTACAACCTATGTAGCATCTCTATCTGTCTTCACATGGTCGCGATATTGTATTCCAGCGGCCATATTGTATGCCAGCGGCTATATGCTGGCAGACGTGCATTTTTTTCATCGGACCTGTGGATATGATCAATTTATAAGGACAAAGCTTACTATGAAATATGACACTTTTTTTGCCATGGGCTCCAGGACTAAACAGTGTTTGTGCTAATCACGATCCAAACAATACTAGACTTAAGCCTAGTAAAAAAAACTTAGCATAATTTTTTTTTCAGGAGTTGTTACAAAACTTAATTTCAATGGATAGTAGTCCCGAAGAAGCTGTTAGAGAATCTTCCAAAGTTATAAAAAGTAATGTTTTTTACGTAGTAGAGTATAGAGAAATGTTATTGACTCTGATAAACACTTACAAGAAAACAAAATACTCCCAGTAAGTTATTATTTGTATTTCTTTATTGATTTTGTATTATTAACTATTTTCTGTTTATTATTATTTTTTTTTTTTAGCCAATATTTGATTGATTTGTTGGAAACAATCCACATATTTTTAAAACTTTTAAGCAACTTCTGCCAAAATAAGAAAATTATTGTTCAAAAACAATTAACGAGCAGGAGAAAAAAGCCTAAGAAAAACAGTATGTTTTGTTTTTTATTTAAGAATGTTATAAATATCTGTGGCATGCCTTCTCTAAATATTTCATCTATTTTCAGAAAAACCAAAAGAGCCGACACCAGCGAATGATGAATTATGGCCACTTTTAGAATCGAAACTGGAAAAAGTGTTATCCTCCCCGATAACCAAAGAAGTTATTCCTTTTGATGCAACTTCGGATAAAAGCATAGAGGAACAGAAGTGAGAATGATTTTTTGTTTGAATTGTTTGTATTTAGGAATATTAATTCTTATTTTATAATGAATTAATTAAATAAATACTGAAAGATATACATTTTAACAATGTTAGAAATTAGTCGATAAAATTTTAGTTTGGATGTTGTTAAGTTGTTAACTTTATAATAATAGTATAAGGTAAAGGTTTGGTTTACTCGCCATATGAAAACTGGAAGCATATATTTAAATATTGAAACGTGCATTGAGATTTGGAAAGCTTTTGTCCTTTTATTTTCCTTAATAGAAATGATCTTTATGAAATTTTTAATCAGTAGAAAAAGGCCTTTTTAGTCTTGATAATTAAATACTTTATTTTTGGCTCTTCAGGCATCTTCAGGGATAATCTGATTTTACATGTATTTTAAATTTTCATTCGCTTATAGCAGTGCACCCACATGCACACTTAGTTGTAGAACATAACCGAATGAAAATTTAAAATATATATAAAATCACGTTAATAAAGTATTTAATTATCAAGACTAAAAAGGCCTTTTTCTACTGATACTTATTAAAGTCTCTTTACTAAGAACATCTTTTAGAAATTTAAAATTTTAAAATATAAATTTACTACTCCATCTGGACAAATGTCTAACTTTGAATCTTCATACGAGATTGAAATGACAAGAAACCGCTCGAAATTTCCGACTACTCCAATGCTTACTAGACAAACGCACTAATCCCAATCCAGACACCTATCCTTCCATAATAAACTTCAGAACCATCCGAACTCTCTAGTTTTTAATCTTGCTTCCTCTTTGATCCCCGATAATCCTCCGAGACATCTAAAAAGAAGATGGCCTCGTGATTTTCTAATGTAAATATATTTTCGGAGTGCTAACAGTGGGTAGTTCCTAAAAAAATGTTTTCATGACATTATATTCCTATGTTTACATTTACTGAATCTATTTTTATTTTTAATAGAGTTGTAAATATCATGAATTAATAAATATATATATCTGTATAAAAATGTTTGGAAATTATAATAAAATAAAATATTTATATTTATGGGATGTGTGTGTATATGTATATATATGTGTGAATGTGTATGTGGGTATATACATATATGTGGGTGTATATCTAATTATATATATATATATAGTTTTCTTGTGTATATAAATCATATTTTGTTTTTCTTGTAATTTTAAGGATTGTAATCTTGTTTTTCATTTATATCTTATGTAGGTTTTTTATGAGGTTTTTCCTACTGTGAAAAATGGATTTCAATTTTCTAAACAGCATTCATACCACTAGTATGTCATGTATAAGGTTACTGCAACCACAAAGGTGGTTAAAATTTATCATTATGATATGATGTAATGTATATATAAAAAAAATATATATATATAATAAAATATTTGACTTCTTTTTTGGGAGGGGAGTGGGGGGGGAGATAGAGGAGGTATGTATGTATATTGATATGATTTTGTTACATTTTTTATTGACAAATATGACAATCTTCCACAATGTTGTCAATAAAAAAAAAAAGAGAGAGAGATGGTCTGAGGAGGCGGTCATACAAACCATTTTATTTTACTATTTTAGTCTTTTTATGAATGACCGCCACCCCGGACCATCTCCTTCCTCTAAAATATACAACTGTCAACCATCAAGTATTCAATATGACAAAAAAAAAAATTTAAATACATAAATAAGAAAAAAAAAATACTAAAATAGTCTTAAAACAAACTAAAATGTATCAGGGAAATATAAACTGTAATCATACATGTATACTTATATATATTACCTTCACAGTCGGTCTGAGGATCCCCAAAATTGCCTTATTTCCTACATTCAAGGGATAAAGCATGACTCTTGGGATACCAGCTTCTCTCGCTTTCATTAACTAATTGGAATTAAAATTCAATATAAATATTTACTATTGAAAAATGTATACATTTTCAATAGTTATGTATGTAAATGTATACATTTTTCAATAGTTATATATGTAAATGTATACATTTTTCAATAGTTATGTGTGTAAATGTATGCATTTTTCAATAGTTATTCCTTATTTTAAAATGAGTTTCAACTTTAATTGGTGATTGTTTTTACTTTTGTTTTTTAGAGTTGATGCAATGAAGCGTGTGCAAGTACTTCTCAAATCAGGCGATTGTGAAGAAGCTGTGGCTCTAATGAAAGCTTCAAGGTATTAATGATTAATGTTTTTTATTTTGATTTTTAATGATTTTTCCAAACATTTGATTGGAAAACTAAGAATATGTGTATATATCTAATAAGAATACCCATAATGAAAAAAAAATTGCTATCCTTTCTGCTATACTACAGACTAGTGGTTCTGTAAATTTTTTTTTGGCTTTAATTTTAATTTCACTTATATTTATATGGTAAGAGAAAGTTGTGTGATGCGTGCACTGCACCAGATTTTTGTAGATGTGTCTAAAATTATGAATATTTACATAACATAACATTAAGTACAGTCGATTCTCTATAATTTGAATTTCTCGATAATTCAAAGTCTTCAATTGTTAACTAAATATGTTGTATTTTAATACACTCAATAAGTCAAAATCCTTTTCGTAGGAGGGAGAGATAACATTCTGCAATTCGAATTGGACCACTTTCCCTCTTTATAATTAGAAATTTTCCTGGTAATATTTTTTATATTAGGCTATGTATATTATTTTTTTATGTTTTTTTCCTACCTCACCTTTTAGGCTATGCGGGGTTTTTAATCTCTCATAACTATGGTTATCTGGTTGCCGGGCAACTCATGGTGCTGTGCCATTCGTTAGCCCATTCGGCCACCCTGCCCCCATAGGCTATGTATACATAAAAGTTATGTAAGCTCATATATATTTCCAAAAATATAATAAAAACTAATAATTCAAATTTTTCTTGTTGTCCCTTGGATTTCAAATTGAAAGTCAATTGTATTTTAATTTCGAATCAGTTTATGACAAATGAATAGTTTTAATTGTTATGAAAAATTCTAAGTATAAAATACTTAAAGGAAAAATATATATGTATATATACTCAACAAATTGTCTTGTTTTATTTTTTTTTAAATTAGTTTAAACAATTACAAGTATTCTTGGTACCTGAATGTAGAAGATTCGTACAGTGCCCATGATCAGGTGACTCGTGGAAAAATTCTATGCCGTATTATTTTCTTGTTAATATACAAATTGTAACTTTGGCTAACTTCTAACTCATTATTCAATCTGAATTTTCTTGTTAATATACTAATTGTAACTTTGGCTAACTTCTAACTCATTATTCAATCTTGATTTTCTTAAATTTATCTGTACTTTCATGTTCTTGTAAATTTTTATTTGATGATACGTATTAAATTCAAACAAAAAAGTTATGTAAGTAATATTTTATTTTTCTATATTTGGAATCTTTATTCAAATTATTTAAGCTGAATCAGATTTTCACTATATAGTTTTGTTAAAGTTATTTAGCCTGATTCAAATTTTTATCATAGGACAATGACAAATTGAGCTTTTGATTAATATGTATTCAAATACGAGCAGCATTGTGCAATTATGACTTAAATGATTTTAGATTGATAGATACCACATTGCTTGAAGATGGTATAACATTGTATATTTAATAGGATAATAAAAGTCTTAGTGAACCCAAAGATTAGACTGATCCTTTTTGGGTCCGAATATTCTATACAATACTTTATTTTCAAAAACCTTAAGATGTTGCTCATCTCTTAATGTAAGCAGTCGCATTTCGCATCCATACAAAACCATAGGTTCTAATTTTTAAGTTTTGATGGAAATAATGTAAAATAAAATATATGGTGAAACTTTGATTCAACTACATAATTTTAATATTTTATTAATTTATTTTGGTTATTTATATGAATGGAAATTTCAGTATTGGATATTAGGAATCTTTAATTGTTCACTCAAGACACATTTTTATTTCTTTAATTTTTTTCCATTTTACTTTTTATCTGAGTAATTGTTTTTATTTATACATTTCATCGGCAGCCAATTTCTTGAATATTGCCTCTTTATACATTTTTCATTTTATTGTCTATCTCACTGAAACCATATAATTGACAAATACCATATTTTCAGGACAGACAAAATAACGGTTTTTTTAATAAAAAAATTCATTATATTGAGATATTTTTAAAAAATATTATTAAACAGTAGCTAGTTATCAGTAGTAATCACACCACTTCCTCTTAGTTATAGCACTTTTACCTTATTATCTTTAAAGAACTTTATTTTTATTTTTATTTTGCTATTTATTATTTCAGATTAATTTTTTAATTTAAATTTATTTGTTCTATATAAAAAGAAAACATATTTTTTACATAATATAATCCAAATCTCTTCTCAACTTTTATAGTTTGAATTTTAATGTTGAATAACTTTTGAACTTTTATCAATAACCTGTGAGTTTTAAACCTTTATTCAGAAACACACAATAAATTGTGTGTCTTTTATAATTTGTTCTATTTATTTATTCTATTTTTTTTATTTCAAGATCTATTTCATTACAAGCAATTCTAAGAAATCATTTTTTTTTTTAATTTTAGTTTAGGTTGCTTAGGCTTGATATTAAATAAGGTTTTGTTTTTGGAATCTTCTAATAATATCCCTACAATAAATTAAATCCCTTAATTATCTTTCTATATTATTTATTTTTTTTTTAAATATATATTTTAAGAGAAGTTTGGCCTGAAAATGACTGCTTTGGGGGTAATAATATGTCACCAGAAGAAGAAATGAACTGCTTCAAGGAAGTTTTCCTAGCAGACTTGGACGTTACAGGTAATGTTATAAAATTTAATAAAAACAACTAATGAACATAATCCCATTCACATTTAATTTCAAATTTGAAAATATGATACATAATAACCACCAATATGTACATTTAAAGAATAGAAAATTTCTAAAATTATTTTTCTTATAAATATTATTTACATATCATTTTGGCACTGCTTCTTTTCCTATTTACATAAGTATATTTTAAACAAAAACAAAACAAATCTAATGACATATTTTTGTTTTTATATGTGTAGATGGATGACCTTATGATAAATCAAGAAGAAGAGTCTTAATGGCGGTCAGAAACATTTCTAATAATTGTTAATTACTTATTTATACAGCTGTTTTGTCCTGGGGAAGACTTACAATATGGATCGACACATCGGTATTCAATAAATAATTAACAATTATTTGATGTTTTTCTGACCGTCTCCTAGACAACCCCCTTCTTGATTTTGATTTTTATGCCATCTCAGTTTTTTTTTCAATTATTAGAAACTTTATATTCCTTAGTTTTAGTTTGGAATATTTTTTTTTCAGGTTTAAAATAAATTTTATATATAAATTTAAACTTATATATCCATTTAAGTGTTTCACTTATTGTCAGTAAAGTTATCAATATTAAATAAATATTACATGCATTTATTATTAAACTTGTACAATTAATGATACACCTAAATGAGGAGCCGTCAATTCATTTATTTTAATTGTGATTGTCTTGCCATGTTAATTGTATATTTAATATACACAGGATGTAATTCATGATTCAGCAATGTTAAGGAGCACTTTAGAAAACTTTCAAGACTATGCAATTAGACAGTTTTGATAATCTTTCTTCATTGACTATCGGTCACATGCAAAAAAATATCTTTTTCCATTATTCTTGTTGAAAATATTCTATCTGAGAAGCTTACATTTTGACTATTCTTGGGTATTATACCACAAGGTATAAAAGTTCATTATAATGAAATTTACAATTCCTTTTATCATTCACAATCGATCTCTGATTCACATTGAATAAATTTATGATTGATTTTTATCTCTGAATCTACTTAGTATGTATAGTGTACTCTTAGTAAAATGAAATGCATTTGGTATATTGATAATCTTCAGTAAATTGTTAAGGCCGGGCATACACATTACGACATACCTGTCCGGAAAGGTATCCCTGTGCAGGCTAGAGCTCACACAAGCTGCGGCAAACCAGAAGATTTTAACTCAGTCATGAGATAGCGAGTATACACGAAAACGCGATCGCTTTATTCGATTAAAAACTGTAGTAATTAACCTAAAAACTGTACTGGTATACTGGAGTGAAACACACATGTTCAGGTCTACACACCCTGCGCTGGTTGAAAATTCTAAATTTTGATTCTTTCTGCTCGACTGCACAGGTTGCCAAGCCTGCGCAGTTTGGCCTGTACCGGCTGCCACACATACTCTGGTATATCGGTACGTCTAAGCTGGGCCTAAGAGAAGTGATTATGACCAGAAACTGGATTTTTATGTAGTTAAAAACCTAAAATTCTATGTAACTTGTAATTATTAATTGTAAATAAATTAGTGGAAATTAACGTTTTACTAGTTATGACGAGTGATACGTTAGGAAATTTGTGATAGTACTAATTGATGTTGGTCTTTCCCAAGAGGTTTTCTTTCACACTTCTTAGGCTTTTACAAATGCCTAGCATTTGCATGCCTTCCACACTGACATATCAATTGCCATAAATAATTGGTTTTAAAATTGTTATTACTTTAAATTTGATATTTTCCAATTTAGCCCTGGATAAGGTAATAAGAACGACATCTCAGGAAAATAGAGGGGTCCACATCGGAATGACAAGGATAAAATCCTTGGATACTCCGATGATATAGCTGTCCTTGGAAGTAATCAAGAGGACATTGAGAAACTCGCTAAGAATCTGATAAGAGACGCAGTGTAGATTGGCCTACAAGTAAATGAAGTAAAAATACTGGGTCAATCATCCATAGCAGATTATAATCTACTATAATAGATTATAATGCTATGAGGACAATTTATACCCACATCCATACGATCATCTCAGAAAATGTGATCCTAGGGTGTGTAGGTAGTGTACATGACCTGTCGGTATAGGTGTATTTTGTACTGTTCTGTGTGTTTTTATGCCCTGTACTGAACTCGGGAAACCAAGGGAGTGTTAATCTCCAATAGCCTTGCACATCAGCTAACCCCTGAAGGGGTCTCACTAAAGGATTCCATAGAAAAGCAATTGGGATGGTTTGACTATGTCGAATGAATGAAAACCTTGACCCACAAAAATTCTGGAGACAAGACCCATAGGAAGACACCTGAGAAGAAGACTTAGATTGTCATGAATGGACTACATCTCCAAGATCGGGCAGAAAAAGAGATATAAATGATATGAAGGCTTCAGCACAAGACCGAAAAATCGGGGATTCATGGATCAAGACACCTCCACGCTGAAAGGCACAAAAGGAGAAAGAAAAACAAGAAGACGAACTTTGATATTAAAATAATTATACAACTGCTTAATATGAAATAGCAAAATAAATATCCAACTATATGAAAATTCCAGTCTCTGATTATATATATCAGTGTTATATTACGATAACATAACACTACAAATATATCTAAGGTGTGACTAGTTTAGTGAAATAATCCAAACAGTGAAACGTATTTTCACGGTGGGCCGTTTTTCTAGTATTTGTAATGATTTTGTTTGGAACAGTTTGTCTACTCTTTAAATCAAAAAGTTGCATAGCGGGTTGGTGTGTCTTTTTGCTAAAGGCACAAATAGTAAAGTTAAGTAGTTTGCAAAAAATGCAAGTTTGCTATATTTAAAAAAGTTGAAAATTAAATTGCTTTCTTATTTATCGCATATGTATTGATCCATATGATAGAAATGAAGTTTTTAATGAGGCCATTTTCACAAAGAAAATTTCTCTAAGTTTACATATCTTTACGAGGCATGATATAACTGTAAATTTGTTTTACTACATATTTTGTAATGTGACTTTAGCTGCTATGTCTGGTTTAAAAATATATTAAATTTGCTACTGGTGTATTTTCATAAGGCTCAGTAAAGCCTATTCCAGATCTAACTCTATCATAAAAATCTTTTGAGCCATGAAAATCAAATCTGTGTATTTTTTACAGCTGAAAAACATATAATAAAAGCAATCTACAAAACACATTATGATAAATGTAGCGAAACTTTCAATAGAGTTGCCATATAAGCTCTATAACACTAAATTCTGCTGAATAAATTGAATTGGTTTTATGTCCTACTATAGTTTTGTTTTATAGATTGGTATTTTTTTTTATCTAAGGCCACTTAATAAATCATCCAATCACAACATTTTATGTTTTATTTAACAACTTATCATCAACTTAATGTTGTTACAATATTAATATAACATCTGGCAAGTTACTGCTGAACATTGTTCATTTTTCATTTTGAAATAATTTTAATTTTAGTTTATTTTTAGCTCTTTATTCCCTATAAAATTGGGGCAGAGTATTTTTCAATCACTTTTATAAGCTTATAAATAAAATTAGTGCAGATTGTTAAAAAATTCATTTTGTACAATTAAATTTTTTTTTATTTTTGTTAATTACAATTTTCTCATTCATTTTGAGAAAGTAGAGGTCACCATAGTTCACTCGATATATTTGATATTTCTATGTCCATTTCGATATTGATCGGATTGTTTGTATTTCGTTTTATTCGTGAATAATTTAAGAACAGGCATGCTGAAACTACAGCAATTGGTAACAATAAAAGAACGAATAGCCCTGGATGAGATGTAGGCGTTTCTGATGAATATGCATCGACTATGGCATGGCTTCCGTTTTTGAACCAAAGTTCATTGGACATCAAGTCAGGCTCGTTAACTGTATTATAATTATCACTTTTGTTTTCATAGTTGTGATATTCTTTTGTAACTATTTTATCCTCTTCGATGCTTGTTGTCATTTCTTGTAATTCTGATATTTTAAATTTTCTTTTAGTTGTTGTACTTATTATAATAGGTTTGACTGTTGTTGTATTCAAATTTTGATCCACTGGTCGGTCCTCGCTGATTATGAACATGCATCTTTCTTCTTCTTTTAAATGAAACCAAGCAAAGATTTGTCGTATCGAAGAGCAGTTGATCTTGTTTCCTTGAATATTTAGTTTAGTTAACCTCGATAGATAAGTCGAAAAATCCTTTTTCATGGACGTGATGTTCGAGTTTGAAACATCTAATATTGATAGCTGTTCGAATGTTTTTTGTGCTGCCGCATCTTTTAGAAACATATTAACTAAAATTGTACTGTTTTTCATATATAGTTCTTGCAGCTGATTGTGGTCTGGTACTGGAAAGCATAATGCTTGATTACATTCAGTTACATTTGATAAATAGCTCAAGTCGAGAATTTTCAGATTTTGAAGACTACTAAAAGAATTAATAGGAAATGTAGTTATAATATTTCCTGATAAATTTAGTTTTTCCAACCCATACAATTGTGAAAATGAACTATCTTTTAGCTCGTTTATCAAATTGAATGACAAATCAAGTTGGATGAGTTGTTGTAAACCAGTGAAATCGTTATTATTAATGCTCTTTATCTTGTTATTCTGAAGAAAAAGATATTTTAAATTATTTGGCAATGTGTGTGGTACAGTTTCGAGACAATTGTGATCTAAATTAATAGATGTAAGCAGTTCAAGTCTTCCTAAAGCATCGTCTTCAATGTAACTTATCATATTATTGGCTAGATTAAGACCGTTCAACAATGGATAACTGTCGAGATCACCGCTTTCGATACGAGATATATTGTTAAAACTTAACACTAAGTATCTTACAGAGCGAGTCAAACTGGAAGGAATCTTGTTTTGGTTTGTTTTTGAAGCATAGACACTTTTGAGGCGGCGTGTCGCAAGGAGCAGCCCAAAATCTTGTGAACTTAACCCTTTGTTTTCTGAAACGACTAGATGAAATAAGCCGTTGAGATA